CCCAACACCTCCATCACCTCCACACCTCCAACACCTCCACACCTCCGACACCTCTAACAGTTCCATCCCCCCACCTCCATCACCTCCACACCTTACCTCCAACACCTCCAGTACCATCACTTCCAACACCTCCACCATCACCTCCACCTCTAACACCACCATCACTTCTGCCATCGTCTCCACCCTGTCTACCTCTAACACCATCAACTCCACCACCACCACTTCCATCACCACCTCTGACTCTACCATCATCTTCACCACCACCTCCACCATCACTACCATCCTCATCCTCGTCTTCACCACCATCTCTGGCATCACCATCATTGGCACCTCTCTCGCCATCCTAGCCCTTCTTTAGCATCTCTGTTTCCTCACAAGTTCTCCCAACCCTCTGTCCCATTAGCTCGATCTCCCCACTGCTACTGCCATTAGAATCCCACCCTGGAGTCCTCACTAACATCATCTTGGAGAGCTGTCTCCTCTCAGACCTCCAGGTTACGTGCTTTGAAGCTGGACAATATGGCAGGGGCTGGGGGCTCGGAACAGTCCCTTGCCCTCCCCACTTGCTCAGTGGGATTCTGTTTTAGCAGCCCCAGGGACCCATGACAAACCTTTCTCTGGGGTCACCTGACAGATGCTGAGAACTCTCTCATCCCTCAGGGGTCCCAGCCCTCCTGGTGCTGCTCCTTCTTGTTGACCAGAATTCAGTGTATGGACCTCACACAATCCCACTCTTCGACAGCCGGGGAAATGGCACGGGTTTCCAGAACAATTCCATGTGAGTACCTTCAGGGCTGTGGCAGGCTCTCTGGCTCTGGTGGAAGGACCCAGGGGCTCTGAACAGGGTGTGCTGTAGGCAGGACACTGGCTGTGGGGCAAGCAGGGGACCAGGACTCAGAGAGGGGGTGGTTTCCAGGGGCCTTTGCCACACCTTCTGCTGGATCCCTGAAGCCTCCTGCAGAGGCAGGCTCTCGTCCTAGGCCAGCTAACCCTAGGGAGCCCTGGCATGAACTCTGGTGCTTGCTCATGGGCCTCCCAAGCGCGGGTAGAAGGCCCTCCACCTCCTGGCAGCACAGAGGTCGGCCCAGCGCCCCCTCCCGCTCTCAGACCTCACTGGGGGAGCTCAGCCTGCGCCTGACTCTGCTGTCCTTTCCCACCACCTTGCTGTGCTCACTCAGCCTCCTGCACCTCCCAATCTGTGCCTGGCATCGCACTGCCAGCCCACAGACCCTCCTGGTCAGAGAGAGTGCTGCAAGGGCTGGGACATCCCAAGGACAGGACTCACATGTGTGTGTGTGTGTGTGTGTGTGTGTGTGTGTGTGTGTGTGTATTGGGGGGCTTGGGGGTCTGGGGGCCAGACTCTGTTGCTTCTTCCTGTGCTCTCGGACATTAACCTTTCTCTTGTTATGAAGTTTCTAACAGCCAATGTAGGGAGAATAGCTTAATAACCTCCCGTCGACCTAGCTCCAGTATTCGGCTGTCCATCCTGCTTTCTTTCCTGGCTGACACAAGCTCAGGACTGCTGAGGGCCAACTCTGTGGCAGGCCTCATGAATTATCCTGTTTAAACCTTGCAGCAAGGAGTGGGTCCTGTTGTCAGCCTCTGTTTACTGTTAGAGAAACTGAGGCACAGACAGCTGATGAACCCTGCCCAAGGAAACCCAGATGGTCAATGGCAGAGCTGGGACTTGGCCACAGGCAGGAGCTCGGCCCCCCAGCCTCCAGGAAGTGAGGACTCTGGGCACCGAGTGGAAGCAGAGTGGGGTTCATTCCTCACGGCAAGGGTCAGGCTGCTTCGTCAGAGGAGGTGTGACTTGGGGCTCCTTAACCATGTAGTTTTTTAAAAAAATGTTTTAAGAATTTTTATTTATTTTGAGACAGAGAGAGAGAGAGAGAGAGAGAGAGAGAGAGAGCACGAGTGGGGGAGGGGCAGAGAGAGAGGAAGACACAGAATCTGAAGCAGGCTCCAGGCTCTGAGCTGTCAGCACAGAGCCTGATGCAGGGATCGAACTCATGAACCACGAGATCATGACCTGAGCTGAAGTCAGACGCCTAACTGACTGAACCACCCAGGTGTCCCTCACCATGAGTTTTAATATAATATGTGCTGTGTGCCCTGCAGTGGGGACAGGAAGGACATTATTGCTGGGCTGTCAGAGCACTCCCCACTCTAAGGACCAGCTTCTCCCAAAGCTTCTTCCTTCCTTCTTCTTTCCCTCTCATCTGGCTTCGTGACTTTTATTCTCCTGCATTTAAAAGACCCTTCCTATGTAGATATGTGTTCCTGAACACAAAAAACAATAACAAAAAACCACCCTTGAACGTACTCCAGTGCCCGCTGACGGGACACTGGTTAGTAAATTGCGATAGAGCCACCCCTGCTGGACTGCCACACTGTGGTGAAAAGGAATGATCCATGACCACACTCAGTCCCTTGGATAAATCCCCAAGATCACATTCAAGAATGGTGGCTGCCGCAGCAGGGGCTGGAGCAGGCGATTGTGACAGGGACACAGGCATTGAGCCTGGGACTTCAAATCCCACCTTTGCCTCTTACTAGCGCATGTTCCTAAGCCAGAGCCTCAGTTTCCTCGTCAGCAGGACGGGGATGGTGATGCACCTGCCTCATGGGGTCATCGTGAGAACTGAATGGGCTAATCCATGGAAAGCATGGAACACGGTGTCTGAGTGGGTAAAAGGTACCACCTGTCTTGCAGGTCGTCCTGGGGAAGCAAAGGGCATGAAGCCCTCAGGGAGGGTCTAGGAGCAGGGCTGGGGCCACTGCCAGGCCTCTGCTCTTTCCTCAGTCCTCGGTGGCATCTTCCTGCTGTTTCTTCTCTGCTCCTTGGTCCACACGTCACCGTGAGTGGCCCTCCACCAGGCTGCCCCGCCTTGCAACAGCTTGTTTGCTGCTCAGAGCCCAGCATGTTGGCCCAGTCTAGGTGGGGAGGGGTCCACTGCACAGAGATGCTGATTGGATGGTGATGACCGTGTGGCGGGTGGGAGGAGGAAAGAGGGCCCCCGGGCCAATGACCTGACAGTATCATACAAGTTGGCAGTTTGGCTGGCCGTGGAAGGGGAGAGAGGTAAGACGTAGAAAGGAGAGAAAGAGTTTTCAGGTGGGTTAAGGCATGGAGGCATGAGAGAGCCCTGTGTGGCTGGAAAGGAGAGCTTGGGGGGCTTGAGGCAGGAGGCTGAGGTGGCAGGTGGGGCCTAATGTGGTGGCCTGGCTGGAAAGCTGGGCCCAGAACTTCACCACACGTGTGGTCGGAAAAGAAACAACGGGTCTGGGCCAGGAGACAGGCCCAGGTTCGGGAGCCCATCCAGAGGCCCAGAGACCAGGATCTCCTCCCCACCATGGCCTTGGGAACCACACCGACCCTGAACTTCACCCCTCCTCTACAGATGCTGGGTGCGGAGCCCCTGGGTGCACAACATCTTGGTCATGGGCTATGGTGGCCTCACATCCCTTTTCAACCTGGTGGTGCTGGCTTGGGTGCTGCGGGCCGTGCACAGGCTGCGGGCGCAGGAGAAGGTGCCGGGCACCCGGGCCTGCCGAGATAGCGTCACCGTGCTGGGCCTCACCATGCTGCTGGGCACCACCTGGGCCTTGGCTTTCTTCTCCTTTGGTGTCTTCCTGCTGCCCCAGCTCTTCCTCTTCACCATCTTCAACTCGCTGTACGGTAGGGCCCGCGGGAGGCGTGGAAGAAGCCCCAAGGGGAGTGCACAGCGGCAGGTGGATGTTTAGCCCGCAGGGCTTCAGGCCAAGGGGGCGAGTCAGGGGCCGAAATCCAGCTCCCCTGCCAAGCTGGTTTGGGGGCTCCTTCTGCCCATGGGAAGGAGCATGTCCTTCTAATTGGCACAAAGGCACCTTCTGGCCTAGTGGTGGCTGGTCCTCCAGCTTCTACGCTCTGCCCCTTCTGGCTTCCAACAGTAAGGGGCCCTAAGAATGACTCCTGGGCCTCAAGGAAGCTCAGCTCACCCCCAGCGAGGAGATCCCTGGATTCGGGGTGGGGCGCCACGTTGCTCCTGCCAGTGTCCCCCTGACCAGTCTTTTGCTTGCAGGTTTCTTCCTCTTCCTGTGGTTCTGCTCCCAGAGGTGCCGCTCAGAGGCAGAAGTGGAGGCCAAGATGGAGGCGTTCAGCTCCTCCCAGATGATGCCGTAGTCTGGGCCCGCTGGCCCAGAACCCGTAGCCTCTCTGGCTGCCTGCAGCCTGAGACTCTGGCTCCCACCAGAGAAGGTGGCAGGCCAGCTGCTGGACACCAGAAGCCCCTGTGCCTTCCAGGGAGGCTTCCCTACCTCTATGGCTTCCCCGGGCCCAGAGGGCAGGGCATTCTGCCCCGGGACAGGTGCAACCCCGCTGGGGGTCAGCAAACTTTACTGGGGTGCCTGGGCCAGGGTACCTGGTCAGGCCCATGGGCAGAGCACTGGCTTGGGAGTCAGGAGGCCATATTTCGAGGCTTGGCTCCGAGTCTTACCGTATGACCTTGGGCCTGTCATCTCCCTGACCCTGGATTCCACATCTGTGACATGGGGCAGATGGCTTTGGTCCTGCCTAGCCCAAGAGCTTTGTGAAGACTGAGTAAAACCAGGGAAGAAGGTCTTAGTGGGCCCCGTTACTTCCAACTGCCTGCTGGGGGCGGGGTCTCTGCCAATCTGCCCTGGATATTTCCTGCTGGGCCCTGCCACCTTCCTTCTGGGGAGGGCCAGACCACATCTTGGCCCAGGGTCCCCACCCCAGAGCCGAGTCTCACCCAGTGTCTGAGACCTCACCAGCTTATGCCTGAGGCTGCTTTTCCTTCAGTCCCCCCAAATTATGATGACCCACAACTCCAGGCCTGTTCTTAAAGATCAGGAAGTCCAGTCCTTCCCAGAAGCTCCTCCTCCAGTGCTCCCAAGACCCCTATAGGCCATGTAGAACAGAAGCTGGCGATAGGGCTTCCTGGGGATAGGAGGGCAGAGCCTCTTTCCCCTCCACCTGAGCCAGCTGGGCCTGTGACCTGGGTATTTGATGATCGGTTAGGATCGAATTTCCCCTGGTAGGCGTGAGGGTATGGATTCTAAACCCAAGCTAAGGCCACAGTTGTAGAGACCTACCTTGACCTATCCGTCAGACCAAGAGGGAGAGGGCTCACGAAGCCAGCTGCATTCCCAGGATGCACACCAGAGGGCGCTGTTGGCCTGTGCTCAGAGGCCGTTGGCTCCAAAATCCATCTGGAAATGTCACCTGTCTGTGGACTTGACACACGAGGGGCAGAGGTCCTGCTTCCAGAACTGCTCCTGCTGAGGGACCCAAGAAAGAGTTCTCACACTGTTTACATGGCCATTTCTCTCTTTTCCCAACGCAGCTGCCGGTTCTGGCTCTTCTGGGCATATCCGGCGCTAAAGCCGTGGGCTGGGGTAGGCTCTCAGGGCGCCGCCCCAGGCCGTCAGACAGGTAATAATGGCTGTGGAGGGCGCGGTGAGGGAACTGGAGCTGGATCCCTTTTCTCCTGGAGGGGGGTCTTCTGCCCTCTGCTAATTTCTTGATGCAAATAGCCCTTCTCTGGGTGGTGAGTACTGTGGTCTCTAGAGCCAGACTGCCTGGGCTCAGATGGCTCTGCCACTTGCCAGCTATGTGACAAGCCACTCAAGTTCTCTGTGCCTCAGTTTTCTAATCTGTAAAACAGAGGTAGTAGTAGGGGTGCCTATTTTGAAAATGAAAAAAAAAAACCCACATAAAGAGGTTTAGCATGTAGTAAGTGCTCAATAAACGGTTATCATTGTTATTAGTGTTTTTGGTGTTATTATTAACAGAGTCAACTGAGAGGGCATGCCATCACTAGGCACAACCTGCTGTCCCTCAGCTTCATCACCTCCTCCCCCACTTTCCCTAGAGTGGCCTCTGCTCCGACTTCAGAGTGGCCCCCCACCTCTATCAGGGTGATGTGGGTCCCCATCCAAGTCCCCTGCCTGGGGTTGGCCCAGTCCTGAGTGGTACCAGGCTCCTTAGGCCTGGGGGAGGGGGGCTATCATACTAACGAGGGTGCTGAGGGATCAGGGCAGGTTGCCACTCCTGGTCTCAGGCAGCTACGGGTCTGTAGCCCAGTGAACAAGGGCCTTGCCTGTGACTTGGCCCCCCCCACTAGTTCAGGCCCCACCTCTAGACCCTACCAAGCCCAGGGCTATATCCCAAGGGAGGATGTGGCCACAGTGACAAGGGGTCGTTCTGGTCGTTCCAGAAAACAGGCCCAGGCATGTGGCCCTGAGCACCATGGGGATCAGTTCCCAGAAATGCCCCTCCCAGGTGTGGGGGCAGGGATGAAAGAGACCTGCTGGACCTCCCTGCCCTCCCCTCACTCCCAGCAGGGTCCTGGCCTGGCCCAGCCTGGGGACTGGGCTCAGACCTCCAGGGGCTTGCAGGCCAGTGGGGAGATGGACCGGGTAGGATGACAAATGGATGCCGTGGGGCCGCAAACTAGAGGTGTCTGTGTTGTTTAGATGCTGCCGCATCAGGAAGGCACAGTGTGTGCGTGACGGCGTGGGGTTTGAAAGCAGGGTTGCCAGATAAAATACAGAATGCCCAATTTGAGAGACATATACTAAAAAATTATTCACTGTTTATCTGAAATTCAAGTTTAGCTGCGAATCCTGTAACTGTCTGTCTATCATGCTCCCCCTTTCTTTGGCTGTCTGGCAACCCTATTACAAAGGAGCATCGGCTTGGGAGTGCAGGGTATGCACTCTTTACCCTTCAACTGTACCCCAGATGTGCTGACTGGGGAGCCCCTCTGCCCACTGAACAAACCCTGCACACTCGGGCTGACTCAGCCAGGCTTCTCCTCGGTGCTCCCCTTACCTGCCAAGGTCGCCGAGAGGGCGCTCAAGGAGTCGGCCTTGTGCTGCACCCCTCCCCTGCTATCAACCTTGGCCCAGCCTCCATCCCTGCAGAGCCTCCTCCCCGGCCTCCCTGTCTCCTCATTCCCATCCTCCCTTCACTCAGAAGCCAGAGGGAATTTCCACCCTTCAGCCTGATCACGCCCTTCTATACTCTGTTCCTCCTTTTTGACAAACTCCTCACAGGAGCTCCAAAGGCCCTGGGGGTCTGCCCCTTGCCCTCTTCTCCAGCCCATCACCCACCACTCCTTCCTCATCCTCCTAGCAGCTGCCACACTCAACTCCTTTCAGTTCCTCGAACAGGTTCTTTCTCACTGCCAGGCCTCGGCACAAGCTGTTCTCTTTCCCCAGAACACTGTCCCTCAGTGCTTTCATTTGTGGAAAGATGAGAGTCCAACCCTGAGATCTCCGCTTTGCACCCTCCCCTGACCTCCTGGAGTCTGGACTAGGAAGCTGGCCCTGCCCTCCAGCATCTAGGGTGGGGTCTTCTCTCGCCTCCACGGCCCCTGCTCTCTCCCCTTAGCAGTAGTTATTTCTCTGTCTCCTGGTCTGTCTCAGCTTCCAGATTGAGAGCAGTTGGGGGACAGGTACTATGCCTCATTCACTCCTTCATTTATTATATGTCCATCACGTAATTGTGAGGCACAATCCAGACACTGTGCAGGTTGCTGACGGTGGCATATAATGAGCCATTTAACAAACAAATAGGATATCATTAGTGGGACCTCATGCGATTAGAAAAATAAAGGAGGGAGAGGGGATACAGAGGCCGGGGGCTCGGGTTTCAGCAGAGGGGGTTGGAGAATGAATCCAGAGGTGCTGGGGTGGGTAGGAGAGAGAGTCAGAGAGCTGGCCTGATTGGCTGGTTGCCTGGGGAGCCCCAAGGCCAGAGTCCTCTAGAGGTTTTGCCACATGGTGACAGTGATCTTTGGATCTAGGGATGGGGAAGATGGGAACTTGTATCTGTTGTGACGAAAAACTCTAAAGGGGGGCTGGTGAGGTGGTCCCAGGTTGGGAAGCCCTCGGCTCTTGGCAGGAGCAGAAGTAAACTCACCGCAGAGGAAAGCTTCCCTCAGGTGGGCCAGGAGGACCCCTGCAGAGTAAGACTCGCTGATGAGCTTAAATACAAACCTTACCAAGTCACAAGAAGACAAGTTACCATGAGTGACAGCAGAGACAGGAAGCACCACACGAGTCCCCCAGGGTCAGAATACAGAGTGGCCACGTATGACATGTTTAAAAAATAGTTACACAGAGGAGGTTAAGCATCTGACTTCGGCTCAGGTCACCATCTCACAGTTTATGACTTCGAACCCCACGTCGGGCTCTGTGCTGACAACTAGGAGCCTGGAGCCTGCTTCGGAGTCTGTGTCTCCTTCTCTCTCTGCCCCTCCCCTGCTCATGCTCTGTCTGTCTCTCTCTCAAAAACAAATAAACATTAAAAAAAAGAGAAGATGAACATATAAACAAAGAAGGGTGAAGAGAGAGAGATTTGGGGGAAGAACATATGGAAATTCCAGGAGTGAAAGACATAATTTCAAAATCAAAAATTTAATCAATGGTAAACAGTTGAGTAGAGAATTTGTGGACCAGAAGTTGCACATAATGAATTCAGGAGGTGGATAATATGAATGAGAGATTAAGAGATACAGAGAATTGAATGAGAAGATCTTATATGCTGGAGCCCCACAAGTAGAAGAAAAAAGGGAATGGAGGAAAAGCAGCATTTGAAGACATTAATGGCTGTACATTTTCTAGAAGCAGTGAAAAACAGATCCACAGAACCAGGAAGCTCAAAGTATCTCAGGCATAATAAACAAAAAGAAATGTAAGGGTTACAGACATTTTATTGGAACCACAGAATGCCAGACACAGAGAGATGTTGAACGCAGTGGGAGAGAAAGGACAAATCATCTCCAAAGGGATGACAGAACGTGAGCTGACTTCTCAACAACCACAACAGAAGTGAAAACGCTGGAGAAGATGGCAGAACAGCATGGAAGTTGGGTTTTTTGTGTTTGTTTGTTTTTGCGTCTCGCGTCCATGAAATATAGCCAGACCAAGACTAAACCATCCTGCACACCTAGAAAACTGAGCTGAGGATTAACATAACAATCTGCACAACCTGAACCACAGAACTCAGCAGGTACACGGTGCGGAGAGGTGAACTGGGGGAGAGAGAAGCTGTGGAGGGCAGGGAGCTGTTTTTGCTTGCGGAGAGAGGACGGAGACAGGGGAGGAGAATACGGGAAAAGCACCCCTCCCCAAAAGCAGCTGGAGAGAAAGTGGAAAAGTGGAAACAGCTGCAGGGACTGAACTAAAAAGAGAGAAGGGAGAAAGGAGAGGGTTTCAATTCCACTAAGACTCTGTAACAGGGAGAGCGCAGAGTCGGAAACTCCGCAGCTGATACCTGGTGGTGCTCTGGTGGGAAGGGCGAGTCCCCAGGAGCAGAGTGAAGTCTGGGCGGTCCTCGGGCCACATGGGGAGTGGTGGTTCCCCTGCAGACAGGACATCGGGTAGAGGCTGTGTGGCCCCCGCCCCCACAGGCAAAGGTGTCAGTGGACCCCGGAGAACAACCACATTCGCTGGTGCTGGAACAAGGTCGTCGGGGGTGAAGCCTGGTGCCAGATGCGTGTTGTGATTTGCCACAACCCCTGAAACGCTGCTGCCATACGATCGCATGGACTTTTTCTGGGGCGGGCTGGCACTTGGCCGCAGTCTGTGCATCAATGGGAGCAGCACAGTCCCTCGAACGTTCCTGGGTGCAGCCAGCACCCGGCCATTGCTCAGTGACACCCTCCTGCGGAGGAGTGCAGGCCAAATGCAGTCCCTCAGAAGTAAGGGGTTGGGAAACACAGACTCATCTGAGGTGAAACTCAGGAGGGAGGTGTTGCCTGGCAGCCTGATGGCTCACGGACAGTGAAAAAGCGGGGAGTGGACGAAAGCTGAAGACAGAGGACGGGTGAGCAATTACTGATCGGGGAGAGCAGAGTTCTGATACTAGAGACTGGGTAGCTGGGTGACGCCATTTTCACTGCTCCCACGCATGCGCATACGCACCTACGAGCGCCACAACAATCCTTCCCAATAAGCTAAGCAGCGCCATCTAGTGGAGACCAGAGCCATTACACTAAGCCCGGCCCAACTGGGACAACCTCACTCTTCAGGAATACAAGTCTCTCCACCTGCTGAGTTTACAGACTGTAAAGTGCTTCATAGTTTGACTTCTAGGGGAAAACGATGTAATATCAATCGTATTTCGGTCTGTTTCCTTGTCCATCTATTCAATTTTCTTTTTTTCTTTTCTCTTTTTCATTTCTTTTCTTTTCCTTGAATACAGAAAGAGAAAAAATTTACTTTTATTTTCAATTTTTATTAAAAATATTTTTCTTTATTTTTTCTACTATATTTTTTACTTTTTTTGTAAATTTCTCAAATTCTATTTTACTTCCATCATTTCATTTTATTCTATTGCAGTGTGTTCATTTTTTTCAAATTTTCAAATATTTTCCTTTTTCTTCTTTTTCTTTCTTCCCCTTTTTCTCTAATCTATCAAGCTCCTTTCAACAACCAGAGCAAAGCACACATAGGATCTAGCATCATTTATTTGATTTTGTGTGTGTGTGTGTGTTGTTTTTAGTTTTTTAATTTTATGTTTTTTACCTTATTACTTCCTTTTCTCCCTTCAAAATGACAAAACAAAGGAATTCACCCCAAAAGAAAGAGCATGAATAAATGACAGCCAGGGATTTAATCAACACAGATACAAGCAAGATATCTGAACCAGAATTTAGAAGCACGATAGTAAGAATACTAGCTGGAGTCAAAAACAGATTAGAATCCCTCTCTGTGGAGATAAAAGAAGTAAAAGCTAGCCAGGATGAAATTAAAA